TCAACAAAATCACTTACTCAGAATCAGAACAAAAGAAAGGATAAAAAATGTCATGGAACCAAAAACACCATACCCACTAAAATTAAAAAAAAAATAATAAAAAAGAATCCCACATCCACAAAATTCACTTACATCCAAAACAAAAAATCGAAAAAATAATATAAAAGGGTGAACATAGAAGGGCGATTCCACCATAAAACTTGAAAAAAAAATTAAAACCATAAACAGCACCTTCTAAAACCATAAAAACAAATAAAAACAAAAACAGAAAAATCAGAAGAAAAAAAAAGGTAACTTACTATCGAGTTCTTCAAGCCACCTCTTGATGCTATCAAAGGTGCTCCTTCTACTGATATCATAAACCATGCGCCAAAAAAAATTAAAAAAATAAAAAAAAATATAATATAATAAATATCGGTTCACCATGCACTTTGCTAGAAAACATAAAGAAAAAAAAAATCAATGATTAAAAGAACAAAACACAGAAGTTGATGTAGTAAAGAAGCCACCTTGGCGGTTACTTGTGCGAAGAACACTCACCAAGTTTTAGTTTGCAGGGTTATGCTTCCTTGCACGCCTTCTTCACCGTTCACAGCCTCAAAGCATCTTCAACGTTGAATGACAGCACCACGAAAGTGAAACTGGGGAAAGTGAAAAGGGATATGGGGAAGGGGAAAGTGAAAGTGTAAAGTGAAAAGGGGGAAGTGGTTGATTTTGTGAATAAAGAAAGGGGAATCAGAATTCACCAATTTTATTAATACTATTACTATTTAAAAACTAATCGGTAAAAGTAAAAAATTGGTCACAATGGTTAAAAATACTACAACGGACATCATGAGCATGGGTTCGAATTTTACTCGTGTATTTTTTTATAATCCAAATATGAACTGCTTCGAAATTCCCCCGAAACCACCTAAATATTCTTATTCTCAGGCGGTTATATAATAACCGCCCCTGTTTGCTTAAATATCTCCAAAAGTACGTTGCAGACGGTTTAATGTAAACCGCCTCAGAAGTATCGCCTGTAAATGCTATGTTTCTAGTAGTGAGGTGCTCAACAAGACTTGAGTCCTGAATGCGTTTTTGATAGGGTGGTGGATAGTGGCAAAGAACCCTTCTGTTTGCTGATTTTGCCCGATAAAAAATTAACATTTTTGGGGGCCCATTAGGTCAATTTCAAATTCATATATGATACCAGGTTAAAAAAGATACAATTCGGCCAAGAAGATTGTGCCAAAAATGGCTGATTTCGTATATGACTGCCATCGAACTATCAAACTTTATTTCAAAAAGAAGTGGGTCAAACATCGGATTATATTTACAAATTTTTTTTTACAAACTGTTACAAATTATATTATGTATTTTGAGTACATTCTCACATGAGTATATTATCCGAAATACATAGCGTAATTTATAATAGTTTATAAATAAAAGTTTATAAACATAACCTTCTGTGTCAAACTTTATCAATAAAATATGAAAATGCAGTTTGATTGAGGCCAAAATACTCTTTGCCAACTTTATATTCTGTTTTTCTCCTACACTAAAGGAGAGAGAGAAAATTTAAAGTGAGTCTCACGTTTAACTTGTATCTGGTGCATGAGATAATAATCTCATGCAACATGAGATTATTATTTTCCGTAAATTTTTACTTAAAACCGGGTATGAGTAGTTTTCATTCTTCTTTCAACGGCTTTTTGACCCTTATGACCCTTAATAAATAATTAATTACCAATTTGCCCTTCATTTGAAACTAATTCGAAAATTTAACCCCCCTCAAAAACATAACATCAATCTGCTCCTTTTTGACCGTTGACCACGAAGCCTACCCGCATACACTCTTTCCTACCCGGGTATTTTTTGAAAATTTTTATCTACCCAGGTAAGTAGGGGTGTACTCGGGTATAGTTCTTGAATCTGAGAATTTATTTGAATTATTTACCCGAGTAGGGAGGAGTGTACCCGGGTACGATATTTCACTTGAAAGAAATTACATACTGATTTAATTCAGCATCAAGCTTCTGAAAACTTTGAACAGCGCATGCATCTCGAAAACCACAATTGCCCTTCTATGCAGATGTAACGTTAATATTGGAATTCGTTTCCTTTTAATTCGGGAACATGCTTGAGGATGGATGGCTGGCATTAAAACTGCACTAATTTAAAAGTAACATTTAATACTAATTAAGCGTAACATTGAATCTGATAAAAGTGACGTCAACTTAATACAAACCGCCACGCCAACATCAATTGTAACGTTAATTTTATTGACGTTTCGTCTTGTAAAAGGGCGCTAGAAATAGTGTCTTTCTTATTTGCAAAAATAAAAAAGAAATAATGTCTTTCTCATTTATTCGCAACAAAATATTCGACGTCACCACCTAAAGTAATGTTTTTGTAACCCGATTATTGTGTTTTTTTTTTAAATTTATTTGTAATCTTTTTATTGATTTAGTTTTTTAGCCAGTCACGTACATACGAAAACGAAAATAGAAGTTATGAATAATCATAAAAAATGTAAAATTTATATCCTGTGGAAATATTAATCTACACGTGATTGAACATAGTTCTGTGAGTTACTATATAATGATTAATTTATTTTGTATTAAAAATAGCTTATGATAGATTAAAATAATTTTCTCAATTGTCTTTTAATCCTTTGAAGATAGAGTTGAACCGATTGCTCGAGGCTAAATAGTTCGACGTAGTAAATTGACCGTAACTTTTCACTGGGACGTCAAATTTAGGTGATTGCACTTTTTTTTTTCCATATAATTTGCTATCTTACATAAGGCTCTGTCATTGATGAGATATTTTATTATACTAAGGATAAATCCCACTGATGAGTCAAAGTGATTAGTGACGTTTGATTTTCAATTAACAAATATTATTATTTTCTGGTTCAACATCCCAAGAGTTTTTTACCCGCGGGGGGGGGGGGGGGGGGGGGGGGGGGGGGCGCAATAAAAGATGCATATGTGGGAAACCAATGAATCAAGAGATATTTCATCGTAGTTCACCAGCAAATGAAGGGTTTGTTCAAGAAAGGACAACTTTTATTATTTCAGATGACCTTAAGGTGAAGCCTGATGATTTTCAAAACTCTGTTTGTCTACCTATAAATCTTGGATCCAAAGACTTCGATACAATCAAACTAGTAACTGTGAATGTCACTCAAAAAGAGGTATTTTTTCATGTTATATTTATATATATTTATGTTTTTACCCGGGTACACTCCTCCCTACCCGGGTACACTCCTCCCTACCCAGGTAAATAATTCAAACAAATTCTCAGATTTAAGAACTATACCCGGGTACACCCCTACCTACCCGGGTAGATAAAATTTTTCAAAAAATACCCGGGTAGGAAGGAGTGTACCCGAGTAGGCTTCGTGGTCAACGGTCAAACATGGACAGATTGGTGTTATGTTTTTGAGGGGGGTTAAATTTTCGAATTAATTTCAAATAAAGGGCAAATTGATAATTAATTATTTATTAAGGGTCATAAGGGTCAAAAAGCCGTTGAAAGAAGAATGAAAACTACTCATACCCGGTTTTAAGCAAAAAATTACGGAAAATAATAATCTCATGTTGCATGAGATTATTATCTCATGCACCAGATACAAGTTAAACGTGAGACTCACTTTAAATTAGTATAGTTTGTAAGTTTGTAAGAATTTTTTTTTATCAATATAACTTTCCCCTAAAAATATATGTTGAAATTAGGAGTGTTCCCGGTCCGTATTAAATTAGTTTTAAAGTAAAAATTATCAGATCCAATTCATTCGATTTGATTATTTAAACATTAATTTGGTTTGGATTTTATAATATAAGTGTTGTTGGGGTTGGAAGTATTTCATTTAATGACCCAGACTAAATAATACACGCAAAAGTCGAAAGAGAAAAGCGACAAATTATTAGGTAAGCCCTAATGATTTGCTTGGTTGCTCTTAATAAACAAATCAAGAATGTCATTCAGGTATTATTTTCTTTCCAATATTCTTACTATTTTCTATAATAAAATAAAAATTAAAACACATATTATAAGAATCTTCATTTTTATTTCTCCGGTACAAAAAGTGTAAAAAGTAGAAAAAATAATAATGTGTAAATAATAAAACTGTAAACAAAACGTCATGAGGAAACAAATGTACTGAAATACATATTTTCCACGAGGTAAAATTCTCACCTTTAAACCTATATTATATTGTGGTAAGATTGTAACCATTCTGTAAATAATTACTTTGCGCCGGATTGGAGAAATGAAAATGAGTTGTGTAGGTCCATAAACAATCTAAGCAGAATTAATAATTGAAATTAAACAATACTTAGCAATGACCCAAACAAAAGTAATGAAAAAAGCAAAGATTTTTTTTTTTTTTTTTATATAAATAATGATGAAGAAGCTTGTTTGTAACAATGTAAACGAAAAACAGGGGTTTTTGCCCTTTATACCCTTTATGAATAATGCTAAAGAAATAAAGTTGATAGTGATACAATTGGACGTCATAACAAAGGAGTAATTCATCCGTTTCCCTAATACATAACACAATCGAAACTTTATTAAAGAAGGGTCATCATCATATTAATTTATAGTTCACATATCCGTTTTTAGTAAATAAAATTTCAAAAGTTCAAATTCCCAGATTTGAAATGTGCATCAATGTGACAAGATAAAAACTACAACAAAATAACATTAATGTAGGTGGAGGCAAAAATAGCTTTGTCGTATCTTCGATGACGTAACACTTTAAACAATTCAAAGTTTAAGAATGGAATTATTCGAATTGAACATTCTTGGTGTGCCTCACTAATAGTATATATGTACATATATAGAACAGAGCGGAGCATTCGTGGCAGAAGAAGACGTCGTAGAATTAATTAATGTAGGTATAGGTTGATCCCATTTAATTAATTATAGCTTGATAATGTTATGTCCCAAGCTCATCATCAACTATAAAAAGAGCTAATGAAACTCAAATTTATTCACAGACCGACCTAATGGCTTCTATATACTCTAATGGTATGATGTGTGTGATTTTTCTCTCATTGTTGTCATGCCAAATCTTAGCTTCCCAGAGCATCTCTAATGGCTTGTCATTAGAGCTGATCCACCCATATACTCTAATTAAATCACCTCCATCATCAATTCATAATCTTTCCAACGGTTCAGATGCATTGCAGCCAGACGCAATCACTCCACCCATTGAACCATTGAAAAACAATGCAGCCATGCTTGTGAAGGTTGGTATTGGCACCTTCCCAGGGAATCCCTCCTACATATCGTACTTGTTACTGTTGGATACTGGTTCTTCCCTCACATGGGTTCAATGTGAGGGTTGTGCTGATAAACATGAAAGAGGTAGGCATTGCTATCCTCAGAAGGATAAATTATTTTCAAATTCCACGTCTGAATCTTACAGCGATCTCCTTGACGACAAGGATAGGAAGCAGATACCCTATAAAATAACGTACGCTGATCTTGACAGTTCTGAAGGCGTTCTTGGGAGTGAGACTTTAACTTTCCCATCTGGTTCTGCTTCTGGTTCATCATCTCGTGTTATGTCCGTTAAGGGCGTAACTTTCGGGTGTGGTCTTAACAATCGGGACTCGCATTCGCGTTCTGATGAATATGTTGTGGCAGGGGTATTTGGCTTCGGAATCTATGATGATTATGGAGAATATTCTATTTTGAAGAAACTAGAGCCTATAAGTGGTGGAAGATTCTCATACTGTTTCGTAGGTTACGTGGAGAAACCCCTACCTATGTATCTCAGGTTTGGCTCAGAGATAAAGCCACCGGCAAATTTGAGAACCACGAAATTCTTGAAAAGCAATGATTATGGTTACCGTGTGGCTTTGGAAGGTCTTGGCTTTGAAGGGAAGCGACTGGATATTGATCCAAAGGTGTTTGCTCCCGCTCCCAGTGATAAAAAGCCGGGTGGCTGTTTAATAGACTCAGGTAGAAGTATGTCAGCGATAATCAAGGATGCATATGAAAAACTTGAAGAGAAAGTGAAGTCACACTTTTCAAGTCTTAAAGAATTCAAACCTTCTGTTGGTAAAAAAGGTCGTTTGTGTTATACAAGGTATCATGTAAAAGGCTACACCAAAGATTTACCCACTGTCACTTTCTATTTTAAAGGTGCTCAGCTGGATGTACTTCCTGAAGGCGTTTTCCATAGGGTAGTAGATTACAAAAAGAAACCACCCGAAGAAACCTTCTGTCTCATGATTCGATCACATGACAGATGTACCGCTTTAGGTAAATTTCAGCAGGTAAATGTCAAGTTCATTTTTGATACCAAAAATCAGGAGCTGCAGTTCGGGCCTGAAGATTGTGCCCGAAACGGTTGATCTAATGTATGAAGTATTGTAAACCGTATCAATAAAGTGCCATCTCTGAATGGACAGAATAAAATGAATATCTGTAGTTACATGGTTTTTTTATATATTTATTTTTCGGGCTTTCCTTATCACTTCTTACTTACAGAATTGACTCATGGATAGTCAAATAACATTTTCTCTATATTTTTTTTTAGAGAAAGGTTATATTTTCAATTTTTTTTTTTACAAACTCTTATAAATTATACTATATGTTCTCCCGGAAGAACACTATGTTACATTATGTTTTTCCGAAAATACATAGTGTAATTTGCAAAAATTTGTAAAAAAAATTTATAAACAAATAGTTTTCCAGTTTCTTATATATGGAGGAACGTAGTCTCCTAGACAATAAGCAAGGATCAAAAGTTGGAAAACTATTTACCCGATGAACAAATTAATCATCCACTCATAAGCAAACTGAATAGTAATTAAACCCACCATTCATGAATCTCCGAACAAATTAATCTCCTAAGGTGATATATATTTGAAATTTCAGAAGAATGTGTCGGGTTTTGCCCCTTTATTAAAGTCCAATTGAGTCTAATGTGTAATTAGAACTCAAAAAACGGAGAGCCCATTCAGTTTAAGGCTAGGATTTCTTATAATCCATATATATTATAGTCATCAGCTTCTTAAGGTCTTTATTTGGTGATTGCAGAGGTTAAAGTAAGGTCATCTTCATGATAGCGGCACTTGATTTTTTTTCGGTTCTTGATTTTTCGGTTTTCGGTTAATTCGGTATTGATTTTTTGGTTCAGTCACCGTGGTTTTGAATTAGTTTGGATCGATTAATGAACACTCCTATCTTAAAGTATGAAAGAAATATTTCAATTAATAAATTAATTATTCAACTTTTTCTCTAGCCAATTTATTTCTCTGAGAGATTTTTTTATTACTTTACACAAGCTCTTTTCACTTTTTTCAAAGATTTTGCACCAAACTTCCCAAATCAAGTCACCAATTCTACTTTACATACAATTTTATCTCTTTTCATATAGATTTCCGCATTGTTATACACTACTAGAAAAAATCTCTATAGCGACGGAATTGCTATGAAAATTATGTCGCTAATTTCATCCTCTATACTACTTTCCGTCGCAAATTTCCTCGCAAAATCGTTTGCGAGGGAATTTGTGACGGAAAGTAGTAGCGAGGATGAAATTAGCGACGGAATTTCCATAGCAATTCCGTCGCTATACAAGTTTTTTCTAGTAGTGATATTTATATATTTTTCAATCAAATGTTAAAAAAAAAATATTTTGCATATTGTTATATACACCTGATCCCTTAGTAATTCCTTCTGGCGGATCTTATGCCTTTAACTTCCTTTCTTGCCACCGGAAATCACTTGACATGCAACACATATGCCTCTGACTAAAATTAGTAATGAAATGAACCACCAAAAAACTAGTAATAAAATGCGAGCCCCAAGAAAAAAAAAAGTAATCAAAATTCAAGTGAGCTTCAGCTGATACAAGACCTATCTATCTCGAAGAAGAAAGGTTACTGATGCATAGGAATTTGATCCTTTCGTGTGGTATTTTTCACCTTCTGATATATCTCAATAAAGGTATCAATAGCTAAAAAAAGTAGAAAAACGGTTTGAGATAAAGGGATTTTTTATCAGAAGTAAATTCTGTAAAATTATATTAGTTCTCGACACATTAATTAGGATTTCGAGACAAGGGATAAGGCTGTATTCAGTCGGTCAACTATAATTAACCAAACTCAACTTGTTTTATATTTTAAATTGTAATTTAATATATTTTATTTTGAAAAATTATTCCCTTTTACGTTATAGATACATGACAAACATGCCTTATTTTTTTTAACACATGGTGGGCCCTTCATATGTTGGGGCTATAGCATGAGAGAGAGTATCTCCTTCAACATGAGATTAAATGTTCCCTTTTATTTTAAGGGTTTGCATCCATCATGCAATAGGAAAAAGAGAGTTTCTTACACACACAACATTTTGTGGACCCCACATTTTTTGAAGTAAAAGAAAAAATCTAAGGCACGGAAAGCGAATCTCTATAACATGACACATGACCAGTTCACTTTTCCTACAACATAACTCTTATAAATATCTTTATTTTATGGTGACAAATATAGATTTGACTATTTTGATTTTAGAAGAAGCCTATGAAAGCTTGTGATTACATCCTAAAATATGGACTATAGTTTATCAGAAAAGAAATAAAAAAACAATTACTTAGAAGTAGCATCAAAAGGATTTGGTAGCTTTTACTAGGGTTTTGAAGGACACGATGAGCTCTTTTGGTGGACAGGAGAATAGGAATAGATATGATAAGAGGATTAGATACGAGTATAAAATAATGAGCTTGATAAGTTCATATCCTATCATGTGTTTGATGTGTATTGAATGAATAAATTGATAGGATAATGTTATCATATGCATTGTTTTATGTGAATTATATAGTGTTATTATATTTTATAAATAGGCAAAAATATCATCTTTAATAGAATTTTATATGATTTTTTAAAATTTAATTCTAAACTATTTTTTTTTACTTATTTGCACATTAATTCTTATTTTGAATTATTAAAAAAATAAAAAACCATAATTTTAAGTAAAATATATTAAAATACACAAATAACTTGCACAATTTTTTAAAATAAAAAAATATATTCTCACCTAATAAATTTTTGAAAATTAGGTTTTAAATTGTTTGTCAGTATTGATAGCCAATGTTTACTGGCAGCTGGTGTAGTGGGGTGGCCAATTGAAGTGGTGCGAGTGACAATGGCTAGTGGTGACGACGTCGATAATGATTGATGACAATGGTGGCGATAATAGTGGCTAGTGGTGGCAGCGCCGACAGTGATGGTTGCCCGTAGATGGGTAGTGGTGGTTGTGGGGGTGTTGGTGTTTGATGTGGTGGTGGCAAGTAGGGTGGGTGGTGGCAATTGTGGTGGCAGACTGATGGCAGTGATGGTTGGTACTTGGTGGTTAGGGATGGGTGTGGTGGTGGTTAGTTCAGGTAATGGTGATGGCTAATGCCTACAGCATCGATGGTTCTGGTCAATAGCGGACCTAGAATCTTTTTTAATGTCTGCACACATAGAATAAAAGAATAAAGGAAAATTTTTTTAAAGAAAACTTTAACTTAATATAAAAAAAGTAATCAAGAGTCAATTTAAATGGTTGCAATAGAATATTTTGGGTCCTCAACAAAAATAATAGGCTTCAATTTAATCTCTTAGAGGAAAAAAAGTCTACTCGTGATTCCTCAGAATTCAAAAATAGGCTCAGATAATCAAAATCACGGTCCTCCGAAATTTAAAAAGACCTACATTAATCCTTCAAAAGGACTAACGTGAGTCTATTTTGGAATTTAAAGAGATCACGAGTCAACTTTTTTTTAAGAAATTAAATTGGGTCCTGTAATTTTTGTTGATGATCCAAAATATTTTTTATTTTTATTTTTCTCCAAAAAATTTGTGTGTGCACTTGCACACACGTCCGTCCGCCACTGGTTCTGGTAATTGATGTAGTGGTGGTAGCAGTGATACGAGTGATTAGTGTTTGTGGTAGCAGGTGACAATTGTAATGGCTAGTAGCTCATAGTGATGGCTAATGGTGACAGTGGTAGCTACTTAGTGGATGGTAGTGGTGGTAATGGGTGATACAGATGGCTAATGACTAGCGGCACAATAATGGCAGCTGATTAGTGGCAAGAGCTTATCCTGGTGTGCTCAACAAAGTTCATAAGAGAAGTGTAAATGATAATATTTGAGATGAGAAAAGTGTGACATTTATTATCATATCCTATTTATTCCTAAATAAGTCTTCCCTAATGATAGCTTATCTTACTACAAAATAATATGTTTATCATATCCCTTTGTTTCACCAAACATATGACAAAAGCAAGATATGATAGTTTGTTATATCATGTTCTCTCTATCATATCATCAAACGGCCCAAATTTCGAAGGGAATAAAAACAATAAAACAAGATTTGTGGGCAGCTCCATGACCTAGTCGTATGTTTTATATTTCAGGTTAACTCGGTTAAAATGTTGTATTAGCGGTTTTATTGGAAGTTAAATAGTCAAGCTAGCTTAGAAACTAAACTAAAGAAAAATTTTCTTTAAAAAGATTAAAGAGTGTTCACATAAAATTGATGCTCTGGTATTGAAATTCTGCGGTGCCATAGGAACAGCAATGGCTGAATTGGGTGCCGTACCCAAAATGCGGAAAAAATATTTGAAAATAATATAAAGATCTTAATTTCACCATCATCAGTTTTATAAGTGATCACATAATTCATGGTTTTTGGTGCTCGCACTCCCATGAATCAGAATCTGTTCACCATCGTTTACTGCTTTGTCTACTACTGTCACTGTGGCGATCCAATTACAGCGTCTGGGTCCAAGACATAACAAACCCAAGAAAGAGGGAACTAAGCCCAAGTATTTAGAAGAATATGTGATGTAATTGGTGCATTTATCAGGCCCAGTTAGTGATTCCGTTTAATTGATTCGCCTTTTTACAGTCGTAAAAAATAAAAAAAATCTTCATCTCAAAAATAAAGAGTCGATTGTGTCCTTATTTTTTTTCTTAAAATTGTTTTGTTGAATAATTAATAAAATATGTGTTTTTGATTTTATTTTTTAAGTTAAAAATCAAAACACAAAACAAAAATAACTTATATATGTTCTCTAAACTTAATTCTAAAAAAAAAAAAAAAATCAGTTACAATTTTCAATTTTATTTTTTTATAAAACAGAATTTATCATATACGTTTTTTGTGTTTTTGTATTTCGAAAAGAGAAATGTTATACTTACAATCTATTTTCGTTTATCATTTTTACTATTATATCTTAACCGTTGATTTCAATCAATCAACGGTTATTATTTTCGCAAGTCAAACTCATTAATTAATTATTAATTCGCAATAAATAATGACCGTTAATTGACGAAAATTAATGATTAAAATATGATTG